ACATGTCTTCAAAAACCAAACCGGCTGCCATTCCTTTCACTTCGAGTTAAACATTGCCCGACGCTGTCTTCTACTTCTCATTCACTGAACCTTGTCTGATCTCATTGTTTCTCCTTCTTGAACCGACTCGTTGCATCAAAATAGCTAACTCAAAAACGAGAAAAGAAGAAAAACAAGAGTACAAATAATAGGTTAAAACTACAAACGCATACACCGAATGCAAATATGATGTCGAATTTGAATTGCCATTGTTCTGGACTCACTAGCCTCGTCTTCACGGTGAAACACAAAAGGATGATTACATGTGTGAGAGGCTAGTGAGTCCAGAACAAGGTCAACTCAAATTGGACGCCGTATTTGCATTCGGTGTATGGTAGAAAGTGTTTGCTCAAAATCAACGACATAGTGTTGAATTTACATTCGCTGGAGAATTTACTAACAGACAACTTGTCTGATTAACCATCGAGAACTGAAAATAAACCCTGAAAGCTGGCGAGTACTTGTCCTTCGTGCAAAACATCCCATCAAAATGAAAACTGATTCAAATAATTATGCTACACTTTTCCCTATCATCGCAAGTCATGAATAAACAAACTGTTTTCTACAAATACAATTAACAAAATGTGAATGGTTTCTTTTTCCCAATTGTGTTCTACTTTCTATTAATCTGCTGATATGCCTCGATAGCATTGTTCTCCGTTCAGCGGCTGTGAAGCTTTAGCACCTTATTACAGCTTTTGAATTTTCAGGAGCAAACAACGTTGAAGACAAATTTGTTTTAATTTACACAACGATCAACTCACCTTGCTGTGCTGTCAAATCTCGTCCTTATTTTCTTTCCATGCTTGTCTATGCCGATTGCAAGACCAAAGATTCGTATCTTTTCTGTATATCTTAAATCATTCTATAAAGAAAGTAAAGAAGCGAAAAGCAACACTTGCGTTGATTGACTTTATCTATACTAATAAGATATTAAAAAAAAAAAAAGCGACACATGCGTATTTTGGGCGGGAAAATTATACCGTTTCAAAACGGATGTTACATACATAGTCTTAACGAAAACGTTTTTAAAAAGCATTTTCATAGATGATTCAGTGAATTCATTTTGTTTTTTTCTTTTTGTTGTTGTTGTTTTTTTTCTTTTTTGAGCGTCGAAATTAAAGGTTTTTAAATTAATGTTACTCAGGTAAAAGCTCGACTTACAGAAACAACGTTTCTTAACCGATGGGATTGTACAAAATATGATGCTAGAATACTCGATCCAGGTTAAAGATAGAAAATAGGGACCTTAATTAATCAGACGGCAACACCGAAGAGGACACAGATTGGAAAAAAAAAACAAACAAACAAACGAAACAAAACAAAAAAAGATTTGGATTTTTAGCTAGAATTTCGCGAATGGCTGGATGTGTTTACTATCTCGTATGTGAGCAGCGCTCAATTCCATACGGAAACTTAAATAATTTGCCGTCCGTCGTGGTTTTCATTCGCAAACCTCGCAAAGTTTTGGTGATACCACGTGGCTGTTTTTCAGAGGACGTGCTGAGCTTCAGTTCTACTCACATGATCTTTTTCTTCGCCACGCCCTCGTTGCCGTTGCCGCCGCCGTCGACGTGGTTTGCTTAAGGTCCCTAATTTCAATAAATTCAAACTTGTTTGAAGCATGGTAAAAAAATGAAGCTAGAGTCGCTCTCGGCTATCGCCTCGAGCGACTCTTACGCTTCTTTCGTGCTCAGCAACCTCCCTCGTGCATCCATGACTCAATAGTGTACGCTGTGGTGTTTACCATTTGTTAAATAAGACGCACAATATTCTCGTGACCTGTTTGTGATTAGCGTTGGAAAGTACTTGACTGTTCAAACAAGTGGTTACTGCAGCTAGCCAAGAACGAGTCAAGTCACGGAGTTGCACACATTCGTGTATTTTGAATATACTTGCCTTTATGCGGATATTTTACTTTACAGTCACCAACCCCCGACGAAAATCATTACCCTTTGCAGTAACGGTTACAGATATATTCGTTCTTCTCAATTGCATTTAATGACAAACTCATTTGGATACAACGAGCGGATCCTACAAATTTCTGTAAATTTTTTTTTTTCAATTCTGTTCGCTGGTACAGTTCTACTTTAAAAGAAATTATGCATTTTGATCACGCTCGCCAAGTAGCGTGCGAATCTGCACCCAAATAAAATGTCAAATCTAACTGATCGACGTTTTAAAAGTAAAACCGCTGGATCACATGGTGTCGCAAACACTGTCACGCACTGCCGTACTTGTACATATACTCTTCAGATTTCTCTTTTCAAATTGCTGAACAGTTCCCACCAAATGTTTATTTTTCACTGATGCACGACTAGAAAAGTTTTTTTTAGTAATATCGCTAAAAATGGTAACGTTTTCAAGGAAAAAAAACTGTCTTTTTCTCCAAAGCGCATCGAAGTCTCGTTTGCATTTCGATTGTTTTGTGTTAATTAGCATCTTTAAAACAAAATCTTGTCTGACGCAACTTAATTTTTCTTTGCGTAATGTTTAGGCAAATGATTTATTTTGAAATTTTAATACGAATAAAGGTAGAGAATACGAAAGAGTTGTTGCGACCTCTGCACCTGATCAAGACTTTCCAAAAAAAAAGCCCCTACCACAAAATGTTACACTTATACAGCTTAGGGATGGGTTTGGCCAACAAGAAAACCTTTAGATACACACTTATAAGCTGACATATTCTCCGCAGAAAGATCTGAAAGCTTTAGCTTCATAAAATCGATTTCTTGAAATTCATTTTTCCAAATGTAAAACATTTACAACAGTCATCTCAAGAAAAATTTCACCCACCCCCGCCCCCGAACCAGACAATGTTACATCGAAAACTTTCAACTTACGTACGTAAGGTTGCACGTTACCGGGCTAAATATTTTTTGGCCCGTTTATCAATATGAATCATACATAAACGCATTGGCTAAGGAGTAGCAGTCACATGTTCACATTATGTTCCTATTTTGAAAACATCAAATTTTGTAGCTTACCTTGGGGTCTTTTTTCTCGCTTCCTCTTTCTATCCACCCTTGTCCTAAATGTGTGGATACTTTCTCCACAGCACTTCACCTGCAGGGGAACAAAACGACCTCATAATCTGGTGTTATTTCACAGACCTCGTAAGAATGCTTTTGATTTAAATCCATTACCATCCAGAAGTTCGTTAACATGTAAATTCTCCCCATGATAACCATGCCGTATCCAGCAAACAGGCAATGGGAATTCTCAAGTTTATCAAGTTGAAGTTGTTATCTAAATCTGAAATCAAATTCTCGCAACTCATTTACAAGGAAATGTGTGGCAGCTAGAAGGGAGAAGTAACAATCAGACCTTTAAAGCTGAAGGGTAAATGAATTAAATCGGTCAATAATATGTTGAATCAGTAAAGCTGTACATATTAGCAGATATATTTCTCATGTTTTCTGCTGTTGCAGCGATATTTATTCTGAATATTTGTGATACCTTTTTAAAAGAGTAATCCAAATCAGTTTTGTCTGACTCGGTATAAATCATTAGCGGCGGTAAGCAAAGAGTTCCTGTCATATCATCACCAAACTTCTTCTCGACCCGGGGAAGCAGATACACCTTCGTGATAAACTTGTCCTGGAAACTGTTCTTTTATCACTTTCCCACCGTTTTTCATAGGAGACTTAAGAGTGGTATTACTTCACGAAAACTACTTCGATAAACCTTCATGGATTCAGTATGCTATCAAACAGTTTACGCATGTACGCACGTTGTAGGATATTTGATTAGTTGTAGAACTCATTCTCAGTCATTCTCACCGTTTTTCCGTGACTTATTTTATGGCAAGTGGTCAGTTCGTGCAAGGTCTTCAAGAACAAGTAACTCCGCAGTGATTCCGTAGACGTTCTGACTTGGATTATACCTCTCAATAATTACCTAACTCTCTCTCTTTCACGAGAAGCGAAACGGTTCGAGTCACGAGTTGCTGCAAAATGTAAATTAGATGAGAGTTATACACGTGCAAATTGCACGAGCTCTGCAGAAGAATCCTGAAAACAAAATCAATGTAAATTTGCATATTCAAGTTAGATTTGCTGTAATGATTTTGAATTTATCAAGATTTTCTAGACTTAATATTTCTATCATTTTGCAATAAACATTTCGATTTGAAAAATGAAAATGATACACTTTCAAGATAAACGCTGACGAGGACAAGAGAAAAATTAAATAGAAAAGGTATATTGAAAGCGAAAAAGATACAAGGAATTCGGGACGCGCTAGTTTGACCGTGATCGATGTACCCAAAAACTGGGGTCGAATACGCATCGCAGGAGTGAAAATACCAAGCCCGATTGCCGCTGTTTTCTCGCCAGCCTCATTTATGAACAGTGGTTGGAAAACGAGACTATCACGCATGCGCGAGGATATCAAATAGTATAAGTCTATCGTGACGAAAGAGATGCGTGTAGTGTCAGAGGGGCTACCCTTCGTTAATAAGACTTTTGTCAATAATACTGTTTAGTTAATCACACTATTTGGCGCAAATAACTCTAGCAAGCTACCACTGCGCTGAAAATCCAAAAAATTAAATTTTGACGACTGGGGCCATACAAAGAGCCCAACGGATTTACGATTCCCCTCTCTTCGTAGCATGATGACAGATCAAGAAGTTTTCCTTGCAGTGTTCACTTTATGGGGAGAGAGTTGAATAGTATGAAAGGCACAATCAATATTCTATAGCCCCCTCCCCCCTTTAGACATTATAGTTCATGACTGACCCCCCATTCCCACTAATAAAACCCTGGGATCCCCCTTAAAATCCTCCGACCCCCTTCCCCACATAATTAATGACTGGTTCCTAAGAGTACCAGCCGTACTTTCTGTTGCTCCAGGAAAAAAACTGTAATTACTCAAACTTTTCATCGGCTAAATGGAGTTCTCTTTTAAATATTACAGCAAGCAAAAGGAAAGTCGAATCAACGGAAAACATAAAATCACATCTTAACACTTGATTTAATACATTTTTTTAAATGAAGGATTTCTCTGAAACAAGTCGTCACATTTCAGAATAAATAGTCGCTGCCTGTATCATTTACTATATTTCGCATAGTTTTATTTATGATAGATGACTCCGGATAATTCTTTGAGATAGCCATAATTTTTGCGTACGAGATATTAATCAGATCCCAAATAATTTTCTTTACTCATAATTTTTTATCGATAGCACTATAACCTTTCTTAGTTTTAGGTATTTTAAGTTTCTTCGTATCAAATTAAAACTTTTATAACTCAAATATACGTTATTCAGCCCCTAGCTGCGATGAATATATCACTAGCTCGCGAGAAGGTCATCATCATTCAGCGCGCGTTTCTTCGCACGCGGGAAAGCATGGGGGCCTTGAGCCGTCGAGAGATCTGCGAGGGGTCTAGCACTGAGTTTCAGACCCCCAGTAAACTTCTCTCCAACTCGTCCCAAACCTCCCAGCGGGTGAAATAACGCGCGTCTCGTGGCGCTAAAGATGAGGGCTTACTCTCAGGCTAATTTTTTTTTTTTATATCAGTAAATTATTTGTCATAATCTATTGTAGAAACAGTTGTGTCGGGGACTGGACCCGAACGTACTTGAATTTTGATTGACACAACACGTGAGCGTAGTCATGTATGTTGCTTTTAAAAGAACGTTTCGTTTTTAAGAAAAGGTGTGAGAGAATAAAAAAAAGCAATTGTATTTAAGAAAGAAAACCAGTGATTGTGACTTCGGGACTAAACTTCTACTGCCACAAAGGCATTTCCGAAAATTGTGGCTAGAATTCTTGCCATCAAACTACTGTACATTTTTCCACTACAAGGAGTCTCTCGTCGGACTTCGTCTCAAGTGTACGGTTTTCTAACTTGAAAAACGGGAGTAGGAATATGACAGCGGCGCCTACAACAAGTATAACCCCTGTCATGTAAAATGCTGGAACGTATGACCCCAACTCATCTGCCATCAGACCTGAAAATACGGATGAAAGAAAGGTTAAAGAAAGGGCATGTGAACACTCGAAGAACCCGGTCATGAATAGATCAACTGAAGATTAAAATATTAATTCATCCATACCGCTGAAAAATTTTTTCGTCTGAATAGTAACGTCCTATTTACATCGGAAGTTTGCTAATAAATTTTCAATTAAGTGTCGAAAGTAATCTGAGATTCCTTTGCTTTTGCTTTACTTCGCCTGTGATTGGTCCAGAAATCTCGCCCCACTCTTTCAACCAATCAGATACAAAATTTAAACATATCACGACTTGGCCGCCCGCGTTTTCCCGCGCTTTTAGCAGTTTTGTTGTTTTTACTTTGAGTTCTAATTGGCTCTTGAGTCTTGAAGGGATTTTCCTTTCTTCTGATTGGCTGTTGTGATAGTTTTCGTTTTGGTTTCAGGACACTCGATAGTTGTGTGCTCTAGAGACAAGTGAACTTACTCGCCAATAACTTTAAAAAGGAAAATTCGTCGAAGAATTTTTTAAACGCACGCACGACCTGTTATCACAATTGGTTTCAGTTTAGCATTTGATTGGTTGATAAAGTGAACACAATCGGTTAGAATGCATCTGATTAGCTGAGAAAGTGGCACGAGTTTTGTGGAGAAATTACTGGTCGACATAAAGCAAAGCCATTTTAAAACTAGTTTGCTCTCGGAAACCTTTTGTTCAATTGCTTCATTTTCTGTCCTAGCATGTGTTCGTGGGCTCAAAAGCTACATTATCTTTCTACTGGGAATACCTCCAAGAGCAGGACCAGCGGCTGCTACGACGCAAGTGACTGTAAAACTAATCCCCAGGGCAGTGGCTCTTTGTTTGTCTGAAAAAGAGCCGATGATGGCAATACACACGGAGCAACCTGTAGCCCCATCGGCAAATCCCCACACCACTAAGTATAAAACAAAATGAAAATATTTCGTGGCCAGCGGTAACAACAACGTCGCGACTCCATTGACGGCGCCCGCCAACTGATAAATGTAACACGCTTCGATCCACTTTATGTCACACAGCCGACCAATCACAGGACGGATAAGTAATGACGTCAGCCCACTGTATAGATAAAGGCGAGAGGCTTTTTTCGTCGGTATACCAACTTCCTCACAGTAGCGGGCCTGAAAGAAGGATAAAAAAAACACATGCTATGCAAATCTTGATTTTTCTTTTATAAGCTTAGCAACGCAAATGAACAAAAAGAAACAACTAGGACCGCAATACGTATATGTATTGCCTCCTCTATTTCAGTCTTCTTTTTATCATGACTACATAAATATACACCATATAATCCCAGTACCTCTTAGGGACCGGACATCTTTAAGGCTCTGTAATATTTTGTACCTCCACCGTTCCACCTCTTCCCCTTCTTAGTGGCAGAGGCAGCGGAACGTTTTGAACGGGGGGGGGGGAAGAACTTATCTCTCCCTGACCCACCCCATGTGCATACCTCAAACTTACAAAATGCATTTCGCGCTGTTCTTTGGCACAAGCATCCTCTTTACAATCTCTACAGTTTTGAGTGTGTCCGTAATCGATTCGTGGCTTACTTATATTTTTTCCGGTACAGTCTAAATTCTTTCAGCCTAGCTTTCGATTGGAAACCAACGTACAAAATGAAATCATGTCTAATTTCCTAGACACATTGTCTAGTTTAAAGAAGAATAACTGCAGTTGGTAAGCTTAATAATTTGCCAATTTTTATACTTCGCTATCGATATTTTTGGCACTAAAACGTTAGGGGGGGCTGTGCCCCCCAACTTTTGTTTGGGAGGCTACGGTCCCCCCCTACTCCGCCGCCAATGGGTTCTTAATTGGCAGCCAATTTTAATATAGTCCTCCAATCATAATCGTACATGTTCTTCGGCCATAAATAATGACTGTTCCCATCGCGATGGATCAATCCTCTATCTGGAGATAGAGAAATACGCGAGTGAAAGCACATCGGAGATAGAAAAAGACGCGACTGAAACGGGGTCAGCTATTTCCTCAGTTAAAATTCGAGACATTTCCTTTTTTTGGTTTTTTAATGCGACAGCTTCTCCTGCATGAAATGTGTCGCTTTATAAGAATAGCATGTGTACAGCCGCCCCCACCTGATTCTCTTTTGGAGGGTAGAGGGCGACTGTACACAGGCTAAATTTAACAAATGATAAACAGCACATCGCACACTACTGAGTTATGGATGCACTATGAGGTTGCTAAGCACGAAAGAAGCGTAACTCTAGCTTCTTGCTACATTGTAGCAAAAGAGTTCCCTTTATTTAACACAGAAATCTTACGTGACCATAAAAAACAAGTGCGCTGAAATGAGTCTTTGCATTTTTCACGTCAGCAGCGTACGCCTATGAGGAAATGGTGGCCACTGAACTGGCCAACCAGAGCGAGCGCTTTACTTTGGTTATGTTATAATTAACAATTATTCCACGAGCGCGCGTTGGATATGAGATGATAGATAGCCAACGAGGCGCGTAGCGCCGAGTTGGCTATAATCATCTCATATCCAACAAGCGCGAGTGGAATAATTGTTTTATTAAAAACGTTAAAGTAAATTATTAAATTTTATTAAATTTTTAGCTCCCTTTTAATTTTAAGCTGACACGTACACTTGCCATATTTGTAGATTATGGTATATTGGCTGATATACCATAACGGCTAAGCCAATAAACAGTCTTGAATTGCATTATCCAATGATCTAGTTTTTAATAATTGTTTTATTAAAAACGCCCCCAAGACAAATCTTACCAAATCTTAAATTTTTTAGCGCCCTTTTAATTTTAACCCGACGCGTAGGCTTACCATATTTGTAGATCATGGTATATTGGCTCATATACCATAATGGCTAAGCCAATAAAAAGTCTTGAATTGCATTATCCAATGATCCAGTTTTTAATAAAACAAAGTAGATGAGATTTTCAAAGAGAAGAAATATTACCCGCAGGTGAGGTTCAATTAACGCAACAGCAGAAAAGGTACGTGAAAAAGAAGCAGGATCCTATTTGGGCGCTACTGGGAGTCACACTTTTCGATTTCCGTTGAAACCTGAATTCTTTCAGGCTTCTTTACAGCAATTTCTTAGATTGCGGCTCACCTACGAGGATTAATTCTTCACTTAAATTTCAACGGTAGTTGAAAATGGAGATTTGTTTCATCGACATCACCATCATGCATGACAAACCCATCCACATACCCCAACCCCTCCCCCGGCATGTCCCAAAACAATTTAAGTGGAAGACAGAGGAGCAGAGGAGTGTATTTGTTCCTAACGGGACCAGACACTACTGAAAATATTGAAAATGGACTGGACTCACCATATGAACGAGTGGAATATAATGCACTGCATAATATGTATACATGGACTCTAAAATGATAACAAATCGCTTATTCTTGAGAGTTGAACACATTCTTTCACGACACGTTTCTTTTTTGTCAACTTCATCAAAAATTTGCTCATTGCCTTGTTCAGGAATGCGCCCAACAGTACAAACAAATGGCAGGGCTACAGCCATTATCCCAGCAAGGATCATATATGTCTTCCTCCAGCTGTATGCAACAAGAAGGCCTTCCACAATAGGGCTCATTATAAACAAACCTCCTCCAGGACCCATGGCTAGAAGCCCCAATGCAAAAGCGCGCCTTTTGGCAAAGAAGAGAGGGATTACCAGATATGGGACGAAAAATACAAAACATGTACCAAAGCCGAAAAAAACACCATAAGTAAGTAAAATGAGGTGCATGTTGGGTCCTTTTGAAGTTGCTAGAAGGGCCCCACAGCAGATAAAGACCCCAATTATGGTTGTTTTTAGCGGTCCAACTCTATGGCAAACTTGAGCTACCACCGGGCTAAATAAGCCATTGCCAACCATCGCAAATGAACCTGCAAGAGCTGACGAAAAATAAAATAAACATTTGAACTCAAAGTGCTAACACTGATTTTGGAAGATAAACATGGAATAAATTTGACTTATAAGATTACCATAGTTTCATTTGAGAGGTTCTGCCCTAAGTAACCATGACCACCTTTTAGAGGTGACCACTTCAGTAGAGTCAAAAATTTCAGCACTTGAAGGGAAAAAATCTCAGGACTGTGACAATGACCACCCCTCAGTAGAGGTCCAACTGTATGCTGAATTATTATATGGCTGTGTCTCGCAAGGACTGGGAACACCTGAATTCACGAATTTGATTGGCTGAAATCAATATTGAAAGGGGTCTAGATTTTCCCATCTAGACCAGCATCTAGACCGGTCTAGAAAAAAAAGGTACAAAGAATATAAAAAATTGGCATATAAGACACAGCCATATAATAAACATCTTATTAACCAAACCAAGCTAGGTCAGTCTGTATGGGAGAATCTTGACCTCGGTCGCTGGTACAGACCTCACTGCGTTCGGTCTGTACTGATGACCTCAGTCAAGATTCTCCCATACAGACCTCCCGCTCGGTTAATAAGAACTAAGTAATGACTAACCTGTCAAAGCCTTTCCTTGTTGAAACTCTTCTAACAGAAATGGAAACATGATACCATAGGTATTAACAATTCCACAGACTATAATATTGGAAGCAGCACATGCCAAGCACACAACCCAAGACCAACAGGTGTCTTGCTTGGGCCTGCCTGAAAAGCATCTCCTGTGATGATCTGAGACTGAATCTGCCAACATGTTGTGATCCTTTCCAGTTAAAACATATATCTGCAACTGGTAAAAATAATAATGGTTGTGGGGGTATACCCAACAATTTTATCAATGGGGAAGTTCTGTTATAGCCTGCATGTAGATCCTGTTTTAAAACATAATTTTAATTTTCACACTGTATTTCATAAATATTACAAATGTCTTATTAGACATGCTTCCTGCTTTAACAGAAATACCCTGCAATAAAGCATTGTTTTATTGGGGGAATGCATTAGTTACCCAAGGTAGGTAGGGGGAAATAAAAACGCAATTCTTCACTCCTATTAAGTCCCCTTTGCTGTCCTGTTCTCTGAATAAAATAATACCGGATCACAGGTTGCAATAGTGATTAGTGATTAACTGTGTTTCCTTACTTGGAACTGATCAACTCAGACAACCACCACAAACTGTATAATAGGGACCTTAAGCAGTCAGGACGGCAACACCAGGGAAAATGTCGATTATAAAATGAATTTCTACTCTTTATTAGAATTTCTAAAATGGCTGTATGTGTTACTGTCTCACATGACTGCACATGTCAACTTCAGCCTAACTTATTATAAGTAACATTAAGTTTCAAATGGAAATTAAAATAATTTGCCGTCGCAGTTTCCATTCACAGACGACGCAAATTATGGTAATTTCACATTGTTGTTTTGTAAAGGATGGCTAAGTAATGTACCAAGTTTGAGATATTGTGCTACCAATGAGATCATTTGTGGTATGCCTAAGCTACCTAATACCAGGCCCTGCTTTAACTGTTATTCAATCTCAAAGAAATACGTTTATAGTTCGAAATCAGGACAAAAGCAAATACAGTCTTTATCTCAGAAAATTAATATTCAGAAAACATGACTGTAAACTTACTTCTGTGCTTCTGTGGCTAGTCGTCAAAACACTGTCTCACTTTACAGGTTAGCAGATTCTTCAGGTGAGTGGATTTATAAACAGACTACATGAAATGACTTCTTTCCCTTCTGGATTCTTCTGAAAAACTGGTTTGAAACACAATAGACAATAGCTAACACTTCTAAACCAATGAATAAAGGCTGATAGTTTCTAAAGAAACTGTTTGGGGCTGCGTCGGTGGGGGTAACGAAATAATTTGAAAATATCAACAAAGTTGAAATGGTAAATTGGCCACCGTTACGATAATAAAAGCTATAACGGTGGCCAATTTACCATTTCAACTTTGTTGATAAATTCAAATTACTTCTAAACCACTGCTTAGAAGTAATGCCGATCACGAATCTTGTTATCAAGTAAATCTGTCATCAAAAGGCAACGTCTACTTGGATAAATGAAACAATTACTACCCTTGGAACAATGTTATTATTCACAAAAATTGCTTCAAAATTAAAAATATGTATTTCTATGTAGCCAGGTAGATATTTCTCATTTACTAATAGCTGCAGAAGTGAAAAAGAAAAAGTTCTATCTTATATGAGGCCATGCCATTTCGAAGAGCAAGTTCCTCAGAATAATTCCTTAAAAAAAATATCCTAAGTTGCAATTTTTTATTTTCATGCATGAGCGATGATGTATTGGTTGAAAACTTCTGCTTATAATTTGCATGCATCACCTTCAATTTCACGCATGAGAGATGTATTGGTTGAAAACTTTTGCAAGCATCACCTAGTTAGTATTTTTAAAAGGTCAAAGGATATTCAGCCCTGAAAATACGTCAACAATAATCTTGCAAACGATGCCTCAGCCGAAAAATGTATCACAGGAATGAATAATCTACAAACCGAGTCTGACTTATGAATTCCTACTTCAGATGAGACAGGTTACATTTATGGGCTTCAACTATTCATAGAACTTGTCGTTAGGCATTCTTTTCTTTTTTTTTTTTTTTCTTTTTGGAATCGAACCGCGCCACCGTGACAGAATGATCGATCGAAGTGATCATCTAGAAAGTTAGTTATGTTTCTTTTCTTTTTTTTTTTTTTTTTTCAATTCGTATCAAGTCTTACCTCTTCTGTGTTAGAGAAAAACCATTCTACGATCATCCTCATCGAGGAGAAGCAAAGATACTTCTGAGCGAAGAATAAAAAAACAGGGCCTTTAAAAATACAAAATATCTCATGGCAGCCAAGTTGCACCACCTGAGTCGTCCCAGCTCACCGCGACGAAGTGGGACCTCACGCGGGTTGGCAGGGAGCCTGTGCTAACGAAAAGCCTGGATACGAGTTCCGTTGCTAACCGGTTTCGAGCGTTTTCGGGCGTTTTCGATGTAATTCAGAACCTCGAAAATTACGGAAGAACGAGTTCAATTCAAAATGAAGTATTTTTCATGAGACTTGAGAAAATACGATTAAAGTTATTCTTTTACTTTCCCAAAAAAACTCAACATCGGGCGATGGAAAGAGAAAAACATTAGGGTAATGGCCTGGCTTCTATGCCCTGGTTGTTCGAAGAGTGAATATCCCTAACCATTGGATAACTCTCTCATTCCCTATCTGGTGGATGGCGCAGAAGATTTTGTTGACACTCATCCACTGGATAGAAGGCCCAGTTAAAAAACTTGTTCTGTTCCAAGCACAAAAGTGTCCAAACTCCAAAATTGGCTTCTTGCGGCCAAAACCCAAAATCGGCCACTAGTAGGCAAAATTAAAAATTTCGCGCGCGGGCGCTAGTTTCCGTCATTAGGGTCGCACAAATTGAAAAAACAAACAAACCAACAAACAAATAGATTACTAAATACAAAGTCTACATGTTAGCTGACGAAGGTCCTTCAGTTGTGTGACAGAAACTGCTGAGAGTATTGTGATCACATATTGACCCGGATCAGACGTGACCGATTTGGGCCGTAGCCGGTAGATGTAAGGAAAATAAAACCTCAAAATAGACTAAGAAAGTTCAGTGGTCCCAAGATGACAGAAGATTGGGAAGTTTTCATGGCGTTCAAAATAAGATTCACGGCATGCTAAACAAAGGTTAGAGAATTTTATTTGTGAAATTGATGACGGGAAAGAAAACGCATTATGACCATCCAATTCGCTTTAAAAACCACATTTTTCAATGTGAATATGTCACAATATTACTGAAACTTTCAGTTTACACCCATCCCTCCAGCGTTGATCTCCATCGTGAAAAAATTATCATTACTAACATGAAACCGGCTTGGGTAATGTGCGTCAGTCGGAAATCACGAGTCATCATTTTAATAATAGGAGCGACGTAAAAGAAGAAAAAAACTCTTAACTGGCGGAAAGAATATTGAACCACTTTTACTTGATTTAAACAAACTTACAACAACATTTACATGAGAAAGCTAACTACAATTTCAAATAATAATTACAATTTTCGCTTGCTCTTTCCACAATGGGGATCAAACAACTATAAATTAATTAACAATGTTCTCGATAGGAGTTTTCGTCCATTTTTTTTCGTTATGCAGGAGCAGTTTCGGTTTTTTGTCCCTTTTCGTAAGCGAAGTGAATATGACCTGCTGTAAACAATACACCCTTCATTGCATGGGGGCAACATACATGCATAACACGAAATCTTGCACGATATACTGAATTTCATCACGGCTAGCGCTAGCCAGAAATAAAATACACATATTGTCACGAGTACCCCTGTGTTCCTTTGAATCAAGGAGTCAGTGAAATCTACTCGGTGTATTAAGCTTTAAAGATCGGCACGGCATGGTAATAAAGGTCAATGAATCACATCAAACGATCAGGGCCGGGATCTGAGCGAGCGTCAATAGAGAGCTTAAGCACCAGACGTTCTTGACGTCACGAACGCCTACCGGAAGTCATTAGAGGAACTATGTACATACTGCGCATGTCATGACGTTCGCGTGGTCACGTCGCAGAGCGCTAAAATTATGCGGTCCGTACTACTTTTTTGACACGTCCGTACCCGATTTTTCCGCCGTGTAAAAGGCCTTTAAGACCCCTAGAACTAAGACCCCCCCCGTCTTTTCATTGATTTTCACTTTTCCGGTGGGTCTTAGTTTTCGTAATGACGAAAGGTCATTACGAAAACTAACATCCCATAATATTTTTCTTGTTTTTCAATTATTTTTTAATAAATAGAATATGTTGAAGCGCATAATAGACAGCAATTAACACCCCGTCTTTTCAATGATTCATGACTTCTCCGGTGGGTCTTAGTTTTCGTAAGTTAAATTAAAGCTTAATTAAAGCTTGTACCAGTTTTCTTACTTTATGCGTTTACGGTGAGCGTTTTCATCGTCTTCGTGTGGACGGATGGCCTAAACGCATAAAAAAGTTTGCGTTTACTAGCGTTTGCGTTTACAATCCTCTTCGTGTGGACGTGGCCTCACTCACAGAGCTCCGCGCGATAACATTAATCCTTTTTTTTTTTTCGCTGATTTTTTCACTTTGCGTGACGGACTTCACCGAAAAGGGAATGCACGTGGTCCGGCTTCAGTAAAGTTGAGTGACTAAGGGGAGGAAAGTTTTAGAAGTTTGGCACCTTACATTTCAGAGCCCTTCAGGCACCCAGTGACGCTTTGTTAGAGCACCGTTTCACTTGATTTCAGAAAGATGTCTAGGAAAGAGACAGAGTCAGCCGTAAATGTTCTCCAAGACGGCGTTCAGTCGTCCTTGTGTGTAAGGCACACATGCAAATCTGATTCCTGTTGGTCTTGGTTGGTCTGTGGTGTGTGTGCTTTGTGTAACATTATCATCTGCGGTCTAACGTACAGCTATGGAATTCTGTTTCCCTCGCTGCTGGAAGAGTTTCAACAAGGAAAAGCTACTACAGGTATGCTGAGTTTTTTTTAGGCCAGGTGCTGTCAATATGTTGTAGATTAGATAAATGTCTGATTGACCGGGAAATTTATCAAATGGAAAGTGTTTAGCATGATCTGTACCCTTATCAACAACGATATCCGTTATCACAGTGGTCAAAATGTTGTGGACTCACGAGTCGTAGGCGATACCACAATATCGACGTCGAATAAAACGACTCTGTCAGTACGTGACCGTTGCGTGACTCGTTTACGAGAGCAGCGTTGTCACTTCTGTTTCGCTATGCGAGCCAATTTGGTGTTGATATTCTCGAGGGTTTCCTCGGGTAAACTTACCACACATATTATTCTGGAACAGCAGGCAGAATTCGAACGCTAGCCGCATTTGATTTATAGTTAGAATTGCGTGACAGAATAACAAAGAACGCGTTCTATACAGTTAAATGACTCTTGGGTTCTGTCAATAAATAATCTATGTCCACTGTATTTCGTAGCTAAAATAGATTCTGACGGTCGTTAAGCCTTCTCTGCAGTAAAATTCTCGTTAGAAAGTAAGCGATTCTTTTGGCTAATGCAGGGTCTTCGTTTTCGTAGTACGAAATAAAGCCCCGAATAAAGCCTGCTTAACCTTACTGAGGCCCTAAAATATTCCGATCGCTCTTTCGACGGGGATGTCTGTCCCAAACTTGGACTCACTGGATAGAAAAACAAATCCAAGAGCCGAAAGCAGTGGTACTACGAAAACGAAGACCCGGCATTAGCAAAAAGAATTGCTTACTTTTTAACGAGAATTTTCCAGCAGAGAAGGCTTAACGACCGTCAGAATCTATTTTAGCTACGAAATACAGTAGACATATTATTTATTGACAGAACCCAAGAGTCATTTCCTGTACAGAACGCGTTCTTTGTTATTCTGTCACGCAATGCTAACTATGAATCAAATGCTAACTATACAAAGCTGAAATAACAATTACTAGTGCTTAGGGTAAGTCTACAATTGTACTTTCAAAGGATTTTCTACTTTTAATAAAGGGTCTTCGTTTTCGTACTACGAAAACGAAGACCCTGCATTAGCAAAAAGAATTGCTTACTTTTTAACGAGAATTTTACAGCAGAGAAGGTTTAACGACCGTCAGAATCTATTTTAGCTACGTAATACAGTAGACATATTATTTATTGACAAAACCTAAGAGTCATTTACTGTACAGAACGCGTTCTATGTTATTCTGTCACGCAATGCTAACTATAAATCAAAGGCGGCTAGCGTTCGAATTCTGCCTGCTGTTCCAGAATGATATGTGTGTGGTAAGTTTACCCGAGGAAACCCTCGAGAATATCAACACCAAATCGGCTCTCATAGCGAAACAGAACAGACAAGACGGGACAGTAGTAATGGCAGTATAATAATGGGAAGAAACGCGTGAAGTGGAAAGTATTATATTACTAAGCGTTGTTGCTGTTGAATGTGTGTTTAACTTGTAATTTCTAGGGTTTTCTGTTTACTGGGTCTTCGTTTTCGTAGTACGAAAAACGAAGACCGGGTCTTAGGTCTTAGGTCTTCGTTTTCGAGGGTCTTCGTTTTCGTAACACCCCCCTCCCCAATTGGGGGCTATATATTTTCCATCAGAGGCAACCTCCTAATTTCCACTAACAATTCACTGCCATCCATAAGGCAAAAAAACAGAGGCCAAAATTGGCAGTCGAAAACACCTTACCTTAGGTAAGCTTTTCCTTCTTTGGGAATTACCCAACCAGTTGTTTGGTAAATTTTAAATCACTTGCTTGCCATGTGGCTAAAACAAAGCGTGGTTGAAAAGACAAATACTGCCAGACAAAGCCTATTGTTATCTTTGCAGCTGTTCTTTCGAATCACTGCTGGCGAGCCCTAGCGAGAAAAAGCCAAAGTTTGTCGGATGTAAGATAGGAGTCATGCACAGTCGATTGCATTTTTTATATCCGGGGTGCTTGTGATGACATCACGAAATATCGATCGATTTCGAGCATCAGCTGAGTACAGTCTTCCCGCTCTGCTAGAAATTAAGGACACATAAACGAGGTGAGTTTTTAAAATAGATGTCTTTAATTGCTCGTGGAAGTATTGATCAAGGTCATGATCGGTTTAGTGATGACTCTCGAGGAGGACAAGAGATTTTTATGTGTTTGGCTGCTCTATTAYGTGAGCAATTTTTGCCGATTCGCGAGTGGAGGTGCCAAGATATTGATCAAGTCCTACTTCATGGAGATAATTTTTTTCTCAGTGCATTCAGCAGCAGTAAAGCATTAGGCAAAAAATGCTTCCATTCGGAGTAAAGTGCCGACTGCAGCTTGCTGGTCTCGGGAGAAAAGAGAGGAAGGTGTGAAGCCAAA